AAGCTCGCTTTGAAATATCATCCTGACAAGAACCCCGAGAACCCCGATGCCACTGACAAATTTAAAGAGCTCAACAATGCCCATGCTGTGCTGTCTGACGTCACTAAGAGGAACATTTATGACAAGTATGGCTCCCTGGGTCTGTATGTGTCGCAGCAGTTCGGGGAGGAGAACGTGAACACGTACTTCATGCTCTCCAGCTGGTGGGCAAAGGTGCGGTATCAGTCTTGTTTCTATACAGAATTTTTTTTTTTACTTTAAGTAGCTATTATTTTATGACCTGAAACTTAAAAAATTATCTTGTTGGTGTAATCTACACAATAAATTATTTTAATTATATATCATATAAACACAATACCTATTAGTCATATTAAATAAATAATATTTTTGCAGCAAATTTAGGTGGGGTTTTTTTGGTTACCTGAAAATATATTTTTACAGTGCATTTTATTGTCTCTTTTATTCCTGCATTTTTGACTTTATATACTTGAAACCATGTTCAAATATTTGTACATTATTTTATAGCGAAAAATGTACTTGGTATTAATAGATACCAAGTATAATTCTATAAAAGATGGAATAGAAATAATATTAGAATGTAAAATCGGCAGTTTTTTCTTCCTTATTGTGACGTAAATCCGAGTGAAGCGGCTTCTCGGACAAGAAAAAATGTTGGGCGGGACTTGATTTTGTCCATCAGGAATTGATTGGATCGTTGTGGTTCACTATTGCTGTGATGTAATGTGAGTGACAGGTTGATCCTGCCTTCATGTCAAAAAACATGTAATCAGAGAAGGTGTCATTGCAAGTTATTTTGATTAAAGATTATGAGGGCACAAAAAAAAAAAATTTATGTGCACGGATAAATGATTTATAATAAATAGTGCACTATTCCATAAAAAAAATATTTCATGCATGGTGACTTTAATGCTGCCTGGAACATAAATAAGAACTAATTAAATTCCCCCTGTAGTCAATAATTATATCCCTTAAAACTCATCTTTGATCACTGAAATGACATTAAAAAAAAAATCCTTGGAAAAACAATTTCTTCATGCCTTAAAATAGCTTGAATGTAACTCTACACCCTTGCCTCATTAGTATACGTGGTTCTATGAATATGGAAATACACTCACCTAAAGGATTATTAGGAACACCTGTTCAATTTCTCATTAATGCAATTATCTAATCAACCAATCACATGGCAGTTGCTTCAATGCATTTAGGGGTGTGGTCCTGGTCAAGACAATCTCCTGAACTCCAAACTGAGGGTGTATTCACATCAGGAAAGTCCGATAGTTCACTTGCTTTGGTCCGGACCAAATATATATATATATATATATATATATTTTTTGGTACGGTTCGCTTTCACACTGCTCTTTTTGCAAGTGAACCAAAATTTGTAAACAAAACCACACGTGTGCTAAGGTCGTCCATTCATTGGACAAGGATTCTCAAGTAGGGAAATCAGGAAGTGCAAAAAAGGCTCAGCAAAGTCAGCATGGAGATATTTCGCACTGCAATATTTGTTATTTGACTAATTTTGTGTTATTCTGTACAAACGCAATATGAAGAAACTGCACAGAAGACGGATAAGGTTTTCATTCATAGAGAGGGGCTATGTTCACACATTCAAATAATGAGATTCTTATTGTATATACTGCTAACAAGTGCTGTCAATGTTAACGCTTGCGATTAAGTCTGTCCAGTTTAACGCAGCATCATCCTTGTATTAACTATCGTTACATTATATGAACTGCAAAAGCTTTTTTTGCATCTATGCGCGATTAGACTAAAGAGAACGCTCTGTATGTGAATGTCCTGATGCACACACTCATTCATTCCATTCCAATGATGCACACACGGAAAGACGCGCAACAGTATCGTGTGGCCAGACAGCGCGCCGGAATGGAATTCTCTTTCGCACTTGAACAACAATAACACAAACCATTATGCCAAAATCTCCGACTACGGAAGCCTGTTAACTCAAAGGCGCAGTGGTTTCTTGCAATTGGGTCGGTTCATGTTCACACCGTAAACGAACCGTACCAGAGTTCGTTTGGAACCGTACCGAGACCACCTCTTCAGCTGGGTCTCGGTTCGGTTGTTTGGTCCGCACCCGAGTTCGATTGCTGTATTCACACCTGCCCAAAAGGTCCGCACCAAAGGGGGAAACGAACTAGAGTTCGATTCAATCGAACCAAACAAGGCAGGTGTGAATACACCCTGAATGTCAGAATGGGAAAGAAAGGTGATTTAAGCAATTTTGAGCGTGGCATGGTTGTTGGTGCCAGACGGGCCGGTCTTAGTATTTTACAATCTGTTCAGTTTTTTCACGCACAACCATTTCTAGGGTTTACAAAGAATGGTGTGAAAAGGGAAAAACATCCAGTATGCGGCAGTCCTGTGGGCGAAAATGCCTTGTTGATGCTAGAGGTCAGAGGAGAATGGGCCGACTGATTCAAGCTGATAGAAGAGCAACTTTGACTGAAATAACCACTTGTCACAACTGAGGAATGCAGCAAAGCATTTGTGAAGCCACAACACGCACAACCTTGAGGCGGATGGGCTACAACAGCAGAAGACCCCACCGGGTACCACTCATCTCCACTACAAATAGGAAAAAGAGGCTACAATTTCCAAGAGCTCACCAAAATTGGACAGTTGAAGACTGGAAAAATGTTGCCTGGTCTGATGAGTCTCGATTTCTGTTGAGACATTCAGATGGTAGAGTCAGAATTTGGCGTAAACAGAATGAGAACATGGAACCATCATGCCTTGTTACCACTGTGCAGGCTGGTGGTGGTGGTGTAATGGTGTGGGGGATGTTTTCCTGGCACACTTTAGGCCCCTTAGTGCCAATTGGGCATCGTTTAAATGCCACGGCCTACCTGAGCATTGTTTCTGACCATGTCCATCCCTTTATGGCCACCATGTACTCATCCTCTGATGGCTACTTCCAGCAGGATAATGCACCATGTCACAAAGCTCGAATCATTTCAAATTGGTTTCTTGAACATGACAATGAGTTCACTGTACTAAAATGGCCCCCACAGTCACCAGATCTCAACCCAATGGAGCATCTTTGGGATGTGGTGGAACGGGAGTTTCGTGCCCTGGATGTGCAGCCGACAAATCTCCATCAACTGCAAGATGCTATCCTATCAATATGGGCCAACATTTCTAAAGAATGCTTTCAGCACCTTGTTGAATCAATGCCACGTAGAATTAAGGCAGTTCTGAAGGCGAAAGGGGGTCAAACACAGTATTGGTATGGTGTTCCTAATAATCCTTTAGGTGTATATATATATATATATATATATATATATATATATATATATATATATATATATATATATATATATATATATATATATACACACTTGTATAACTTTGTAACAATATTATATAATATGGACACTGTAATGTAGATATTTTGAATGCATTTTTATCTAAACTAAACCATGACGCTGTGTGCCTGTCTGATTTCGAACATTCTCATTTATAGGGTCTGTTTGCCATCTGCGGCGTGCTGACAGGTTGCTATTTCTGTTGTTGTCTGTGCTGCTGTTTCAACTGCTGTTGTGGAAAGTGCAAACCACACACACCTGGAGAAGAGGACACTGAGTGCTATGTGTCTCCTGAAGACCTGGAGGAGCAGATCCGTACGGACAACGAGAGAGGTAAAAGGACATGCGCAAACACTTTAGATGTGTTCTTCAGGTGGTCACACTCAGTTTTGGAATGGTATATAAGTACAGAACATGCCTCAGTCACTCTACAGCCAGAAAAAAAGTGGATAAAAAAAATTAAAAGGGACACATCCCAAAATTACAGCATCACATTTAGTTCTCATAACAGCATCATCTTCATGTCTTAATTGTGAATGTACTGCTGGTAATCTTCAAAATAGATTATTCTATGGAAAGCGGAAAGACTTTATAAAGACTTAAATATGACATTATGCAACTAAATCTTCCTATAATAATAAAAAAAAGCCTTATATGATAATTTACTAATTAAAAAACTTCATGAAATATTTAAACAGAAAAATAGGCTTTGATGTAACAGATTATGGCTTATCAGCTGAGGGAATAGCTTTTAACATAAGTCACCCTGCTTACAAAAATAAATAGAATTGATACTTCTGAGCCAGATGTTTGGATAAAATACGCCGTTCTTCTGCCAGTGAGCTGTAGGAGTTTTTTTTTTTTTTACATCTTGTGCTGTAGTCCCTCACAAAAGTGATAATTGCCATCTGAGTCATTTCTCAAAGTGCGTTTGCATACTAGTTTTTTATAGCATTCTCACAATAAAAATAAACAATGTTTTCTTTCCTTGCATTTCAAAGGCGGCATGCAAGATGGTACTGACAAAAATGCCTTTTGTCTTATTTAGACCCTAACTACATCTTCCATGTAAAAATACACTTTTGACTTGCTCTTCTGTTTTAGTTGACTTGCATTCACCCAAACAACCTGAGAACACAAAGGGCACAATATCCTGCTTTTTAATATTAATAAAGTATAGTGTATGGAAACTTGTTTCCACCACGGATTAAAAAATAAAAAAGGTTATTGCAACTTTTTATCTCAGAATTCTGACTTTATTTCTTGCAATTCTGAGTTTAAATCTCTCAATTCTTTTTTTATTATCATCATCATTATTTTTTTTATTTTTTTTTGAATTGTGAGATATTTGGCCGGTTTCACAGACAGGGCTTGGACTAAGCCAAGGATTAGGCCTTAGTTAAATTAGGACTTTTATATTAGCTTTTATAAATGTGCATTCGAAAAAAACATTATTGGTATGAATCTTGAAACAAAACAATGGCACTGACTTATTTTAAGATATGACGGTTGCAAGTTGCCTTTAGATAAAACAGCTCGAACATGCATTTTAGTCCAAGGCTAGGCTTAAGCCTTGTCTGTAAAACCGGGGATAAACTCACAAAAGTCATAGTTGTGAACTAATAAGTTGCAAATACATTTTTATTTTTTAGTCCGTTGCGGAAACTCCATGATGGCGTAGATGCACCTGTTTTATAGCATTTATATTAGTGCAGTGCAAAAAGTCATGCCCAAATCATATTCTGCTCAAGTAGTCTCTAAAAATCCACCCATGTGGTCTTAGAATCTTATTTTTTCAGCATAAGGTAAGTCAGTGGACAGTGGGCTGCCCTTCAAACCAGTGTTACAGAGCCAGCTCAATGAGGTCATAAAAGTGCAGCCAGCAGGGGCAGGCTAACGGCAGATTGCTGGGACGTCCTTGGAGCGTACAAAACACTTTTCATTTCAGCAGGAAGTTCAATTAGAAGTGTGAAATGGCATGACATTAGACAGAGTAACCTCTTGTTTATTCCATATTGATGATCATATGTGACCTCTTTTACCTGTGATTTTTCTTTCTTTTTTTCAGATGGTGACACTCCGATTGTGCTGCAGCCAACCAATGCTAGTGAGAAGACCCAGCTGATCGGGGATGGACACAGAACATACACCTAGATGCAAACGAGTTATTGATAGATACTAATTTTAAAATTCTTTTTGAATATATCGATGTATTTTACAATATACTGCTTATTTTAGGACAGAGAAAGCAAAAATACTCACCCTCTTAAGCTTTGTTTAGTCATGCTGTCTGTAAATAACAGATATTATATTATTCTTATGCTTAATGTGCAATTAAAACAGATAATGTGATTTAAAAAATGATGAATGGTTCTCCTTTAAATAATAAATTTATGTCTTACAGGTTTTCAAAATAAGAATTAAGATATTTCTGTACCTTGAATATAGTTTGGGGTGTTTCTTGTTTCAAAAAATCTTCCTGCAATATAATGTGCACAGAGCCCTTTGGTCTGTCTTCAGAGGTTTTGATTTGTAATGGAACGAATACTATGTCCAATGCAACTCCACTGAGAACACCTACTATTATCAAAAATCAAAAACTATGTTTCCTTCGAGCCGGATTCGAACCAGCGACCTAAGGATTACAGTGTTTCCTCTACAGTCCTCCGCTCTACCAACTGAGCTATCGAAGGAACCCGTCATGAAGTGTTCGACCTCCGGATTTTGTAGGAGAAAATAAAATAAAAAATGTTTTTCTAAACTTTTGTTGTACTGCCAACCAATCCGCAAACAGCCGCTGACTGTCTGACGGTAATGTTACCTATGGACGGTACCAAGGTTGTGCTGTTGTTGAGGCTCGCGCGGCGGCTTATGAGGAGAAATGGAAACAAATGAGCGCGGCTCACACAAAAAAACTCAGTGAACAATGAACATACAGCGGTAAAAATTCATCTGGAGTTTTTATAACGTTATTTGTAACATGATATGATACAGTTAACCAACATCACAGGACCGAGAGTGTTGAATACCATCACGATTGAAAATGTGACACTGATTTCATATGACAGTTCAAAGTAATCAATAAGTCACTTACATTTTAGACACAATATTGACTGTTTCAGCAGCGAAAATAGTTCCAAACAAAGATCATAGCAAAACCTAACGTATCTCACCGGAACCGTGTTTTCATTGAATGATTCAGCGATTTGAACCGATTCGGTTGAGTCAAAGATATAATGACCAATTAAACTCCATCATTCCTGAACGAATCGTTTGAATAAATGGCTCAATGACTCACTCATTAAGACGGTCACCTGCCGCCACCTACTGGTGGTTTAGTTTCATGTTCAAAAGTATAATATTTCATATTATTTGTATATTCCAAAAATATTTTAAACTATTTTAGACAATGATACAATGATATTTTAACCTTTATAAATGGCATTTTCCCCTGATTGTTTTAAATATATGCTTCATCTTTCATTTTAAATTCTTAAATTTGATCAATAAATTAATTACAATAAGACACTATATGGCTGTTCAAATTAAATAATTTACACTGAAAAATTTCAACTGCATTAAATAATGTTATGAGATTGTTTAAAATAGTTTAGAATATTTTTGGAATAGACAAAACATGAAATTTTATACTTTTGAACACAAAACTAAACCACCAGTAGGTGGCGGCAGGTGACCGTCTTAATGAGTGAGTCATTGAGCCATTTATTCAAACGATTCGTTCAAAACGCTGAATCATTCAATGAAAACTGTATCATTACATGTTACAAATAAGTTAATAAGTTACCCTGTATGTTCACAGAGTTTCTTTGTGTGAGCCGCGCTCATTTGTTTCCATTTCTCCTCATAAGCCGCCGCGCATAACATTATTTAATGCAGTTGAAATTTTTCAGTGTAAATTATTTAATTTGAACAGCCATATAGTGTCTTATTGTAATTAATTTATTGATCAAATTTAAGAATTTAAAATGAAAGATGAAGCATATAACGATCAGGGGAAAATGCCCTTTAAAGGTTAAAATATCATAAATATGCAAAGCTGACTGAACACTGATGAGAATATTGCTTCAGAATAAATTATATTTACAACACAAAAAAAAAATCCTATTTTTTCTGGACAAGCACATTTTTTACTTGGACAAGTGAGTGGCCGATTTACTGGTTCGAAGGACAAGCACATGAAAAGCCTTAATGTCGAGCCCTGAGTTATATTTTATATAGTATTATGGTTAGGTGGCGAGCCTGAGTATAGTTTTACACATCAGCCCAGTCTATTCAGTAAAGTTAGTGATAACTTTAAAGTTAGTCGGGTTTTTTTTGTTAATTATACAATGTGTAATTTCTAGACTAAAAAGGGGATGTAGATCATATTGAATTATCAACAGATTATTTTCGTTAGAAATAACAACCGCGTCGTTTCATCTAACAAAACTGAAAGGCAAAAATAATGTAACCAAATGGTCAACATTAGCCTACAAATACTTTCACAAAAGTGCAAAATTGAGATACATTGATACATGATGATGGTAAACTTCTATTACAACATTCCACATAATGAAACAGCAGAACAGAAGTAATCTGTCAAGTAAACTCATTCCAGATATTCGCAGCAGTTTCGTCATTTTCTTAAACCTAGCCGTTGAGCTAGTACATATGGGGAATTAGCTCAAATGGTAGAGCGCTCGCTTAGCATGCGAGAGGTAGCGGGATCGATGCCCGCATTCTCCAGACCTTTTTCTAAACAGCGTTGCCATTATTGTACTGTTATATTCTCTTACCAGAATTATGTTAAAGGGAATATTGTAAAGTCTATAAAAACGTTTAAAAATGTTGCGAGTTATGTTTTTTTTTCTTGGCACTTGCATAGGCTACTACTGCGTGATGCATTGAATCGCGTGTTTTCATTACACGTCTGTCATATCCTATTAGCATTCCAGTTTTAAAATTAAATTTATATTTAAGTTTAATTATGTAATTTTTTTACGTATTAAATATGTTTAAATTCGATGTTTCTATGAGTTCCCTGTGTTTGTTACGTTTAATAAGAGATGCAACAGTCAACAGTATCATTTTCATTTATGGGCAAGTAAACATGGCATCCTCTGACGTGCGGCTTTCTAAAAACAGCGCTCGCTGATAGTGGGCCGTGGCGTGGGGGAATGCCAAGCCTCATTATAGAGGGTACAGACAGGCGGTTGGGGCAATGGCGAGGGCCTGAGTTCACCCCGTTCACAAGAATTAGGACAATTTAATTTCCTCGATCAACAACAGTCTCATTCTCAACGTCAGTGGAGCCTTTGCTCGTCAAATCAGGATGGACAGCTTGGAGAAGCAACTTATTTGTCCCATTTGTCTGGAAATGTTCACGAAACCGGTTGTGATTCTTCCTTGTCAACACAATCTCTGCCGGAAATGTGCTAATGACATTTTCCAGGTACAGTTTCAATATTTTTTGTTTGTCAACATCATTTAGCCTATCACACAAAAATTGATATCCCATCTTTTAAAAAAGTAATAAATTGTTTTAACGGTGTGGATGTTTTCAGAAATTATTTTAAAAAAATTAAAACATTAACTGTGATTTGTATTATAATTTATATTACAGTAGTTTTATCATTGGCTATCAGAGTGTTGCTACGGCTCATTCACTTACTTTAAAACAAATTGTTTTTTTTGGGATGTACCTTACACAGAAAGCTAAAATATATGAATATTTGTAAATAAACAGTCAATTATTATTTTTTTTTTTAATGTTTTATTAATTTGTTGTCCTATACACACTTCTCATACAGTCCTCAAATCCATACCTTCCCACCAGAGGAGGCTCCGTGACATCCGGGGGCCGTTTCAGGTGTCCATCCTGCAGGCATGAAGTTGTGCTGGACCGCCATGGTGTCTACGGTCTGCAGAGAAACCTTTTGGTGGAAAACATCATTGACATGTACAAACAGGAGTACATCAGGTTAGATCTGGGAAACGGACACCTCAGGAAGCTCTAATAGGATGTCCATGTGGTTTAACAAGATCCCTTGTGTAATACAGAATGAAGTAGGTTGAATCGTTACAGAGTGCACAACTGACTCTTGAACCACGAGTCATTTTCAGTTTGGTAAATAAATCATAGTGATGACATACACACTCGGTTTCACAGACAAGGTCTAGTCCCAGACTAAAATTCATGTTTGAGCTGTTTTAACTGAAAGCAACTTGCACTGCCTTTGTCTTAAAATATGCCAGTGACATTGTTTTGTCTCAAGATGCACATCAGTAATGTTTTTTTCTAAGGCACGATTATAAAAGCTACTTTTCCTAATTGAACTAAGGCCTAATCCTGGCTTAATCTAAACCTGTCTCTGAAATCGAGCCAAAAAGTCATAATTATGAGACAAAAAGTTGAAATTAATTATGACATGTCAAAATTATGACATTAAAACAGCGAAATTAGGACATTAAAAAGTATTTTCGTCAATTTTTATTTTGACTTCTTATCTCATGATTCATTTAGACTTTTATGTAATAATTATGACCTTTCTTGTCGTAATCATGAATTACTACAGAATATTTTTTTTTTTTCTTATGTGGTGGAAATGGGCTTTCATAGTTACCTCTTTTGTTAAGGTATACTGAAAAAGGTATATTGAATCAACCTAAATATATTAATTTATACCAGCAAAAATGATTTTTGAGTTTAAAACAGCTGTTTAAAGTAATAATTGCAGCTTACAGAGTAATAATCCTTTATCCTTTTAGTAAAGTGCATGAAATTAAGAAACCTGAAGAAACTCAAAATAAGAGCAGACATGCTTTTAAGAATGAAATTCCCCAGGGTTGAACTATTAGGTTCTCTACCACCCCGTCACTTTGCATAGCACTTAAGCCTTTCACTTTATGAATTCAAAAATAGCTTATTTTGGATGAGAGGTTGGTCTTTTAAAGCTTTATAATTCAGTGTCTGTCAGTGTGTATAGACAGATTCCTCGGTGTCCATGTGACTCCCAAGACCTGTGACTCAGACAGGTCAGAAGGCTAAGGATGACGGTCAGCTGGCAGGAAACTTATTTTTAGTTCCACCACTCAGTGTTTAGTCTCCTAGGCATACTGACACACATCACAGACCTTCAATACGGCCTTGTGAACCCTAGTTATTTCAGTAAGAGTTGTTTTGAACTCCTGTCCTCATCTGAGGCAAAGCCAAGAGGTTTCGAACCTTTGAAAAATAAAACTCTGACTTGTTATGTGTTTAACCTCAGTTGGCAGACATTGATACTCATGGATCTGTAATTCTCCACAGCAGCAGACCGTCTCCTGAGAGGAAGGATGACCAGCCGATGTGTGAGATCCATGAGGATGAGAAAATCAACATATACTGTCTGACCTGCAGCGTCCCCACTTGTTCAATGTGTAAAGTGTTCGGCTCCCATAAGGACTGTGAAGTGGCCCCTCTTAACAGTATTTACCAGACGCAAAAGGTAAAAAATCTAGCACTTTCGGGGCATATTTATATTTGTGATTGTCTGCATAAGTACGCCAGAGTTTGCATCGGCATGCATGCGTTTGTCTGCGCAGCATATATTTTTACAGTGTGTGTGTTAATATGCTTACCCACGTCCTCATCTCCAGGCAGAGCTCACGGATGGAATATCAATGATGGTGGGCAATAATGACAGAATCCAAGGCATCATCAGTCAGTTGGAGGAGACCTGCAGAACCATAGAGGTTAGTCACCCTGTGTGGGGGCTTCTCCCTCCCCAAAGCCTGGCATACGAACAGGATTATTGATGAGGAACGTAAGAACGCTTCCTCTGACAAAAGATACACGCGCTCTGGCATGGACGAGCAGGCAGGCAGGAAGCTGGATTCTCTCCAGACCTCACAGTTGCGTTCACAGAGGCTCCATGATTGACAAGCAAGCAGAAATGAGCCGTCTCTGTTGAGCATATGGCCCCTCTGACGGAAAGTCATTGTGAGCAAGGTTGAGGGTTAGATGCGGTCGAAGGAAAGAAACAGGTAGTCAAACTATTGATTTGCAAGGTGAAAGTTTCAAACCTTAATCTTTAAAAAACGATGGTGAGCCATAGTTACATTTGAAGGTGTGTTCCATCCACCCAATAGTATCCATGAAGTGACGTTCTTTAGTAAAATTATTTGCACAGATTATGCTATGTAACTCACGAGGCGCGCTAGCGACTGATGCTAGCTAGAAGCTGCGGTCTTTAGTGTCCTTGTGAGTGCGCCAGCCTTGCACACCGGAGACCCCGGTTTGAATCCCGCTCGGAGCGGGTCGAATAGGACCGGTTACATTTGGTGCCGTGACCCGGACGGGAGTGAGGTTTAGGGGGGTGAGTGTAACGGACTTAGGCCAGTAAGATCTATGCGTGTAAAACCTCACTCCCCTGGCCTCAAGAAGTGCATGAGCGGTCTTTAGCCTGTTAGCCTTGTTAGCCCTCCCACTCTGGAGACGCCGGTTCGAATCCCACTCGGAGCGGGTTGAGTAGGACTGATTACATATAGATACATTATATACATTACCGCTCAAAAGTGGTAGGTATGATTTTGAAATGATTTTGAAAGAAGTCTCTTATGCTCACCATGGCTGCATTTATTTGAAGAAGAAAAAAAAAACAGTAATATTGTTAAATATTATTAGTTATTACTGGTTTCTATTTAAATATATATATAAAAAAAAAAAGTAATTTATTCCTGTGATGGCAAAGCTGCATTTTCAGCATCATTACTCCAGTCTTCAGTCACATGATCCTTCAGAAATCATTCTAATATGCTAGTTTGCTACTCAAGAAACATTTTTATTATTATCAATGTTGAAAACAGTTGTGCTGCCTAATATTTTTGTGGAAACCATGATACCCTTTTTCAGGATTCTTTGAAGTATAAAATGTTCAAAAGAAGTGTCACTTTAGATAACTTTTATGCTGATTAAAACTAACACTACATAATATACATATACTTTGATTTTATTATATACTGTACATTTATAAATATGAATGTATTCATATTTACCTGTATATTATTTGTATGTTTACAGGAAAATGGCAGGCGACAGAAGTCCAATGTGTGTGAAAAGTTTGACCACTTGTACGCTATCCTGGAGGACAGGAAGAGAGAGATGAACCTGAAAGTGAATGCTGAACAGGAAGAGAAACTAAATTACATACGTGGCCTTACAAGGAAGTATGGAGATCATCTGGAGACCATGACCAAAATAATGGAGACAGGAACACAGACACTGGAAGAACCTGAGATGGCTGTTTTCTTACAGGTCCTTTAAGATGGATTATAGAAACACGTTTACCACAATAATGGAAAACTTTCTCGCGCTCTCTTTTTAGAATATTTAAAAACAAATCGTAATTTTTTTAAAGCCTAGAAAATTCATGGAAATGAGAAATATACTCTTTCCTAGTTTTGCTGTGCTCTAAAATATTTGTAAATGTTTCGAGAAAAAAAACTTGCCCCCAAGCTAGTGTGAAAATATCATTCTGTCTGTTTAAGGGTCTTATTGGAGGCATTCGTACACTATTAAGCATAATGTTTTTAATCTATGAATGGCATGAAAATCTATGCCAGCAATGAACAAGATCATGAAAATTGATGAGTGGGAACCCTGTAGAAATTCAATATATTTGATACTTTTTATGTTCTCTTGTCGTAAATAAACTTCTTTCTCTCTCATACATGCCATTCAGAGTTCCAAGCCCCTCTTTCAAAAGTAAGTGTTGATCCTTTCTGCAACATTAATGCGTATTTCACGTTTTGTACATCCCCTGAATTGGTTTCTTGTTTGCAAGAATTGCAGAGGCATCGAATACCTCGCACCTGGAGAGAGTTGAGCGCGGCTATGAGAACATGGATCTTTACTCTGTGAGCTTCAAGAAAGAGTGCATGGCCCTACGCAATATCGACTTCGCCAGAGGTACGGCTCGCCTAAAATGCTCATTAACTTTTGACTATCAACGCGTGGGTTTAAATCAAGTTAGCTTGTTGAACTGATTACTGTATGAAAATAACGTTTTCATGTGCCATTCAGAAGTCTCTCTAAGCATATTTTCAAATTGCAACTCAATGGGCAACCAGTTCAAAAGCCTCCCTGGCTTTTTTTAGTATATCAGATTTGAAAGCCAATTTTATACAAAATCCACCAGGAATGTGGTGCTAAAATCTGTCAGTTCTGTATAGGATCATCAGTATGGGGTTGATGGTATCTTCACACTTGAGAAAGGGTAGAGAAAATTGAACTTTTCCATTTTAAACTACTAGAACATGTTTTTGCAGTTAAAAAAAGTTGAACTTCTTTTATCTTGAGCGCCGCATTTTTAGAATGCGTTTATGCGAGAGGCGCTGCAAAAGAAGCAACGGTCAAATACGTCCGTGTTTATAAAATAGAGCATGTTTGCATAGAAAATCAATGGAAAAGCAGCACAGTGGGATACAAAAACGTGTTCTGTGTGACTGACCCTTTATACTCTCATCTTTTGCAGATGATGATGATGATGATGATGATGAAGAGGAGGAGGACGAGGATGATGTGGGCATCGATGTGGACGGCCGGGCAGGGCAGACAGCCTCGGGAGAAGCCGACTCACTGGGCCAGTTGAAGGAAACCCTACCGCCCCTTCTGCCCTCACAAACCCTGAGCGCACGCACACCCGCCACATCATCCTAACTTCACAAAGTGCACATACCAACACATATTGATCCAACGGTCTTTTTGCGACCTCTTCACAACAATCACAGACCAGTGAATTTCAGGTGCTGGTACTGTTTTTGTGTTTGTTTCAGTTACTGTTTTAGATAAGTCAGTACATGACTAAATATAAATGTAGACGACATGAGAAACCCTTCCAAGATTTGTGGTGTTGTTTACTGCCTAGGGAGTAGTGTTCACGTTGGCACAGCAGTGGTATTTGAGTTATGATTTGCTATAAATGTTCTGGATTTCCTATTAATGTCAACGACGAATAAAAGGTTACCCTTATGTAGTGGGATCATTTGTAACATATTGAATTTAAACCAACATTCAAGTCAGTTCAATTTGGACTGAAAGCATTGGTTTATCACACACAGTAGATGCCCCGGTCTGCTTGAAGGAACATCCATAGCACGGCGTGAAAGTAGTCTCCACATCTCATTGCTCACAGGATTGTCTTCCCCTGGTTTTGCAGGCGAAGAGTAAACAAGTGTTGTTCACACATCTCGGTGGTCGAGCTGAAATAACGATGCCATGGACATTGCGTAATCCATATATTCTGGCCCAGTGGAGGATGATCAGTGACAGGATGTGCATCTGTGACTGGATACACACAGAGAACGTCTACAACGAACATAATGAGGCCCAGGGAGCACAACCCTAAAACATGTGTGGATTCCACCTCTGGCAAAGAATGGATCTTTTGTGGTGCTGCATAAAACATGAGGTTTAAGCGAACTGAAATGTTCTTAGTTCGCATTTGAGTTTTGGTCGATATAGATGTGCTTCAACCATCAAATTTAAGACATGGTTCAGTGAAACTCCACCCATGGTTTTTCTAGTTGCTGCATAGATAGAATGAGTCACCACACGTCAGTTATTTGGTCTGGTGTGAAACGTTTCAGTCAGCACCAGTGTTTATTCTGCAATTTAATCAGTTGTCTTTTTCATAATATGCATGGATACTGTTTTTGTTGTCCAGTAACATTTATCCTAAATAAAGTGAATTTTCTTTTTGGAGACATGCTGCCAAGTCCAGACAGAAATCAATGTCCTTTTTGAAAAATTAAGTATATTGCAAGCATGTTGATTAATAATTCAGTGTGTATGTGCAATATACTCTGAGGTTATGCGTTTATGACTTGTTTTTGAGCTGGTTTTAATTACTAGGTTATCTGAAGGTAGGTGGTAAAAATTAACCTTCTAGTGTTGTATGGTCAAGTTTACCCTTTTAATTGTAACTGAAATTATGGATTAAATTCTTGGGGAATATTAAACATGAAGGAAGAATTGTTCTCACCCGGTTAAACCTAATTAGCAACAAGATACATGTCAATTATCTCACTCATTCATTGATCCTTAATGCCATAAGATAATATATCATGATTCTTTGCAGTTATATTGACAACATGATTGTATTTATAAATATGTGTACATGTTGTGATTGTGAAATATAAGTTGTTGTTTTTTTTTTTTTACTATTTAATCACTTTGTCCATGTCAATAATCTAGACAAGAGGTGGCTTTCAAATTTTTATTGAAAAATATAAATATAAGACATTCTCTTGCACAACAAAAATTAATGGTTGCTCATTAGTTTATTAACAAACTTAAACAATGTACTGTATGTTACAATGAAACTCAAGTCTGTCAGATAAAATAATGCAGTGCTGGAAAATATTGTGTTTTTTTTTTTTTTTAAAGAAACCCGACCGTTTTCTTCATCTACAGTTTTGAATGATCACTTATACAATAACATTGATGGAGAGTGATGACAGTTTTGCGCTTCTGAACACTTTGATTCATATACACCTACTGTACTCTATTCGCCTTCGTTGAGATATCTACAATAAGTCACCGGTATAAATAGATCATGATGGAAAAGCAGCACTATGGTACAGAATATTAATGTATGTGCTAAATGTAAAAATATCTTTGGCTGATGGGTTTGCTCGTGTTACTTCCCGAATATTTCCATCATTTTGCGGTTGCTGTGAGCTTGCTGGGCCATTTGCTCGGCTCTGGCCATCTCCAGTACTTCTCGTAGCAGATGAAAGGTCAGATCCAGGGAAATCGGTGGCTCCTCCGACCTGCGCTCTCTCTCCATTGAGTCGAGCGCCCGGAGCGCGTAATTGCCATCCAAACGGCCGATGTTTCCAACTTTCCCCTCCAATAGACGCTGCGTTAACTGGAGCTGCAGTGCTCTTTTGGAATACTGGGATGTCTCGGAGAAGCTGTCGGCTGGGGATCGGGGAGAATTCTGATTTCTGTTACCGAGACGGATGAAGTACTCCTCCCCTAAGCGTGCCAAAACCGGCGGGGATTGTCGCTCTCCATCGGGGTCCGTTGCTGGCTGGTTGGAGCTGTTTTCGATAGCTCTACATTCATACGGTGGTGGAAAGGCAACGAGCAGAGCCACGGTGGTGACGAGAAAATTGAGCTTCATGTCAAAAAGTGGCGAGGAGAATCTGTGGGAGAAGTGAGTAAATTATGCGCACGAATTCAACTTCTCAAAAACAGTTTTGCGCACTCTGGGACAAAGCTCAATTCATGACAGATGTAGCTATATTTTTTAGACACCTTACTGAACATTTACATTGCACAATATTATATTTTGAAGTCCACTTGGACATTTACGCGCGCCTTAAAGTTGGATAGATGGGTGCCTCATTGTGCGCAAAACACGAGGACGCATCCATAGCAATACAAAACTGACTATAATAAAGATTACCAGGGTAACATGTAATTTGCTAAGGTTTAAGCTACCTCAATACGAGCTGTCTTATTCTAAACAAGATGTTGCGTACCTGTGCGTAATTGGTATATCCTTGGATGGTTTTTGAACTTTGCGAGGTGCGTCTCTCTTCCAGTTGTTGCCTATCAAGTTACTTTTAGGACTACTTCAAAGGAAGGCTGGAGTTTGCATTTATATAGGCACGGTCAGCGACAAGTGTCACGCATTTAGTAGCTTGCGTCTGCGCAGAGGAGAGAGAGAGCGGACTTGAATGAACGTAAGTGAACAGTTTTCGGTTTGAATGAGTCATCGAGCCGGTGTGTGTATGTGTGTGCCATTGAGAGTGAGTGTTACTGTTTGTGTATGAAAGAAGATGCATAAAACAACGGTATTTAGGATCCTTTATGTTGATCTTTTCTTCTTTTTAATTAATGAAATGTAAAACGGTGTCCTCTAAATATTTTGCAAGCTTACCTTGAAAAATATGTAGGCTATAAAATACTTTGTTTTAATTATGAGGCTCCACTTGACAAGTCAAGACAAAAGTTTGGGATGATGAGTGTCTTAAAAGTACATAGTGTATTTAACCCAAGTTCCCTAAAAGTTATATTTCAAGTAAAGCAGAATGCAGTAAAAAGATGTTAGGGAAGAGAAGTCCCGTTCGAATGACTAATTGTAACCATGGCAACAATCCGCTGTGCTTCCCGTTAAGATCACTATGGGATGGTACGTCGACAAAACATTAGTATTGTTTTCATTTATCACTTTATTACAAGTTTACATATCACAAATATATTACAAAAGTGTTTAGTGTTTTGTTTAAAATGTCTTTAAGATAGGCTATGTTTAGTTTAAAATGTCTTAAGAGGTTAACTATAATTGGCGCCAAATTGGCCTATTTGCTGCCTGTGCGCGAGACGACAACTGACTTGAATACGGTAATACAAACACTGATAAAATTCCGATTGAATACTTTTATGATTTTCTGTTATGAATCCATAATCTTTACTTAAGGATAGTTCACCCAAAAAATATAAATCCTGTAATCATTTAGGCTACTCACCCTCATGTTGTTCCAAACCTGAATGAATTTCTTTCTACTGCTGAATACAAAAGAAGATATTTTGAAGAATGTCTGTAACCAAACAGTTGATGGGCCCCATTTTATTCCATAGCATTTTTCCCCCGTACTATGGAAGTCAATGGGGCCCATCAACTGTTTTGTTACCAACATTCTTCAAAATATCTTTTTTGCGTTCAGCAGAAGAAAAAAAGTCATACAGGTTTGGAACAACTTGAGGGTGAATAAATTATGACAGAATTTAAATTTTGGGCTGAACTATCCCTTTAAATGCAGCGTGTTTGACCAATGTGGGTCATTGACTGGTTTTGAATATTTGGTTACATTGTGATCTCTGCTTAATTGCTTATTCATCTCTAATAACCAAAGATGCATTTTAATGTGGTGTAACTGCAGTAGTCAATTCCTTGGTCACAGTCCAGGTTGTTCCCTCCTTAAAATCATCATCAAATGCGTCACTCTAAACCGCAGGTTGTTAAGTTGTTGCAGCCACAGCCACGCAGGCGTGGTGAACTTCGGGCAATGTTCTAGTGGGTGTCACTTATCCAGACAGCACAGACAGAGCTTTGGGTCCCGGCGATTACAGATGCGCAGCGGCAGGACCACGTCACTCTCGCAGTCACTGCTGTCAAGTGCTGTCCTCCCCCCTCTCTCTGCTCTGGCCATGAGGGAGGCTGGGAGATGGAACACTTGGCTCGAGCCCCTTCACACCTGCTTTCAGAATGCCAATCAGATGGCATCCCAATCAGCTTCTAGACAATACATGCTAAAGTGTAATGAAACAGAGGTTACTTATTTCCCAATAGATTTGAATGGAAATTCCACATTGATGCTTTGTCCTTTCATCCAGTCATGTGGGTTATCCACTAAAGAAACATGCAAAAATAGAAGTAATTATTAGGCATAGGACGGATAGGATAAAACAAGGTCTAAAATAAAGTCCAACAGTCTGGTTCCGGAAGTTTAAACTCCAGCTATGAGGCTGTTTATCCGTGGTATTGCTTCTTTTGAAGCCGTCAGCCCGCGATATTTTAGATTATCAGCTTAAATAATCGTATTTAACAGCAGAATTCCTAGTGAAAAGCTACATTACCCATGATGCTGTTTACAGAAAATGACACCAATCAGTGAGTCAAAAAAAGCAACATGTGCCAAAAAATAACTCTTTAGCTCCACCCACTTTCATAAAAGGGGGTCTTATCATGCCCTTTTACGAAGTCTTGATTTTGTTTTGGGGGTGTACTAGAATGTTTTCATGCTTGATTGTTCAAAAAACGCATTATTTTTCACATATTTACAATATTACAGCACCTCTCTCCTCAGTCTGATTCGAACATGCCATTTTCAAAGAAACCCCTCCTTCCAAAATACGAAATGTGCTGTGATTGGTTAGTTGGCCCAATGTGTTGTGATTGGCAGCGCTTAACGTGTGTTCGGGAAATTTTTCCCGCCCCTCCATAACTGCAAGTTCTGCTCTAGTGTAATTTCGAACCAATTCAAGCCCGATTCAGACCCTGACAATGTTAACGAACAAGAGGACTGTGCAGAACACATTTCATGCACATGCTTTGCGAGCACGTATTTCACAGGATGTTAATTTTTACTTTTTATAATTTTGTCTTACAAAAGCGAGAGCTTACAAAAGCAACAGAGAACTGTCACGGTAGACGCATTCTCTGTTCCTTCTCGTCTCGTGTTTATGTTGTGGTATGAATGCACGTGTGTAGTGGGCGTGAGTGTATGACATCACCTGATCCACTTCAGCTGATTCCCATCCACTTCACCAGCTGCAATCACTCTCACCACTCTACTTATACTTACCGCTGTTCTATCATCTTTGTCAGATCGTTGTTTGATGTCGTTCGTGTTGGTGTTCCGGTGTCCAGTTCCTGCCTTGTGTTCCTGTTCTTCGTCTTCGTCGCTGGGTTTCGTCTGTCGTCTCATCGTCACCGCACTTCACTTCATCACGGATCCTGACCACCGAAGTCCCTGTGTCACCTGTTTACATCTGCCTGTACTGCTTCACATCCATCATTAAATACTGTTTTACTTGCTATTGCTTCCAGCCGTTCTTCACACGCCATGACAGAACGATCTGACCAAGAAATGGAAGCAGCGAGTGCGACTCAGAGATCGATGGAGGAGTTTGTTCATCATAGCATCAGGAGAATGGATTCTCACCAGAAAGAGATCGGCGACACGGGCCGCGCAGTACAGGCTTTGGTGACGCAGGTGTCCGAGCTCACCCAGCAGATCCAACGCCTACAGGGTCCCACTGCGCCGCCCACACCTGCCGTTCCTCCCACACCACCTGAGCGACCCTCCCAGTCAGAGCCCCGCCTTCCGGTGCCTGAACATTATGCCGGTGAGCCAGCTTTCTGCAGAGCATTTTTGACCCGTTGCACGATGCACTTTGCTTTAGAGCCCCGCACGTTCGACACAGAACAGGCTAAAGTGGCGTTCGTCCTCACCTTACTGACTGGGAAGGCGGCGCTTTGGGGAACGGCGGTGTGGGAGAATCAACACCCATGCTGCGCCTCGTTCCAGACCCTCGCCGCCGAGATGTAGAATAGTGTTCGACAGGGCTGTCTCTGGAAGGGAGGCAGCCAGAAGACTGGCGGAGTTGCAGCAAGGAGAGAGATCGGTCTCCGATTATTCTATAGAGTTTCGGACCCTGGCGGCGGAGTGCGGCTGGAACGAGGAGGCGCAGTGGGATATGTTCCTGCATGGGCTGGCTGACCACGTCCAGAGGGAGATCTATGCCCTGGATCTACCCACCACTCTCAACGGGTTGGTCGACTTGGCTCTGCGGGTGGACAATCGACTGTCTAGGGTCGAGCGCCGAGTCCCGTCCGCCCGTTCCTTCGCAGGGACCGACCCGCCACGATCCAGCGGCAGGGACGTGGTCAGCCCCGTCTACGATCCCGAGCCCATGCAGGTGGGTCGAGCTCGGCTTTCCCGGGAGGAGAGGGAGAGGCGGAGATCCCAGGGCCTTTGCCTGTATTGTTGAGGAGCCGGACACTACGCGTACAACTGCCCGGTAAAAGGCCAAGCCCGATAGTAAGATTGAGGCTACTATCGGGTGGGATCTCCGCTAGGAAGACCTCATCATCGATTACATCTACCTCCACACTCCTTCCGGTAAGACTCAGGTGGTCAGTCCAACAGCACGACTGCCATGCACTTCTGGACTCTGGGGCTGAAGGTAATTTTATGGACCACACTTTTGCACAGAAGATTCAGATTCCCCTCAGACCCCTCACTCACAGAATTGCAGTTCACGCACTCAACGGACAAGAACTCCCCACCATTTCCCTTTGCACTGAAGACATTACCCTCACCACTTCCGGCAACCATTCTGAGACTATTTCATTCTACATCATGGACTCACCTCTTGCTCCCGTCGTCCTCGGACATCCCTGGCTCATCCTTCACAACCCCTGAGTGGACTGGCACCATAGATCAGTACTGGAGTGGAGCAAGGAATGTCATAAGTCTTGTCTCGTGTCTGCCTGTTCGTCTGTGCCTGTTTCTGTGTTTCAGGAGGAAGCAGCGGATTTGTCTAACGTGCCCGCGGAGTACCTGGACCTGAAGGAGGTGTTCAGTAAGTCTCGTGCTGCTTCTCTCCCTCCGCATCGTCCCTATGACTGTGCTATAGACTTACTGCCAGGTAAGTCTCTGCCGAAAGGCAAGTTATATTCACTTTCTATTCCAGAAAGGAAGGCTATGGAGAAATATATTTCTGATTCTCTAGCAACCAAGTTCATTCGCCCTTCCTCTTCTCCAGCGGGGGCGGGATTCTTTTTTGTGGGGAAGAAGGATGGTTCTCTGCGACCTTGCATTGATTACCGAGGGCTGAATAACATCACGGTAAAGAATACTTATCCTTTGCCGTTGATGTCTTCAGCCTTCGAGAGATTGCAGGGAGCATCCATCTTCACAAAATTGGATTTACGTAACGCTTATCATTTGGTTCGCATTAGGGAGGGGGATGAATGGAAAACTGCGTTTAACACCCCCAGGGGGCACTTTGAATATTTGGTTATGCCGTTCGGGCTGTCCAACTCCCCAGCAGTTTTCCAGGCACTGGTCAACGACGTGTTGCG